ACAGCTGCCGCGGCCGACAGCTGCTCGCGCCGGGCCTCCTTCCCCACACCTGGCCCTCCTCCCGGAGCAGCTGGACCGGGCGCCTCCCTCCGCGGCCAGAGCACGGGGGCAGGAGCAGGCCGGAGGCCAGGTGGCGGCGCGATCGGGACCTGGGACCCAGGTGGAGAAAGTAGCGCCCGGTTGAAATGGGCGGCCGCCCCGCGTCAGCAGTTTCCCACGAGCACTCCCCACACTCCCGCTTTCTGGCCGAGACAAACGTCCCGCCGGCCACCCGGGCAAGGGGGCACGAGGGGCGCCGGGTGTGTGCCCGGTTCTGGGAAGCAGCCCCACGGCTGTGCGGTCCGCCGCCCCGGCTGACATAGCCCTTTTGTCCGGGCCCTTCCATAGGGGCAGTGGTCGGTCCGTGTGTCAGGGTCACTTGCCCGGAATTGAGGGAGGCGTTAGGCGCTGCGGCGGACCTCCGCCCATTCGGGGCCGCCCGAGTACCCTCAAGCACGGGCGGCCAGGACTCCCCCGGTTTTGTCCAGGGCACCGCTTCTTCCCTTAGGTTCTTCAGTCGCCTGCAGGGGCTTCTGCGATTCAAGGGTCCCTGTGACAGCCTCCTCCCTGTGTTCACTGTCGGCCCTCCCAGACCTCTCCGGCTCTGCCCCTGTTGCTGGGCACACACACGCTTGTCGCCTGCATCCCGGGATGTGTGTGATGTGTTTTACAAGCTGAGTGTGTAGCAGTCCTCACTCGGAGTGGCCAAACTGGAATATGCACTTTTCTGTTACATCAGCTGTTGACATCAGAAGAGGAGGCTAGGAGAAGGGGTGGGTGGGTGGAGAAGTGACCTGGGTCTGAAAGCTCGTTACTCTCTCCTTTGCTCTGCCATTCCACTTAGGGGAGCCATGCTGGTGGGGCTTCGTTCTGGAGGACATGGCCTCACACTTCGTTGCTACTCCAGTGTGGTGGGGAAGGAACCTCACCTGTCCAGTTTGTCCGTCCGTCCGTTCATTCATTCATTCTTGGGTTCCTTTATTTGACACCCATTGACCACCTACTATACTTTGGGAGTCAAAGACCCCAACTCGCTGTCTGCCCCAGAGCTCCTTTCTAGGCAAATGACTACTTAACGTCCAGAGCAGTGGTAAGTGGAGTGGGAAATAGGGCCACCTGGGAGTGGAGTGTGGCGCTGGGGTTATTTGAAAGTAAGTGTCCAGGGAAGGCCTGATGGGAACAGGAAGGCGCTAGTCCCATGGCTGTCTGGGTTGCAGTGGGGAGCAGCTCTGGTTAAGACCTTGAGGCCAGCCAATGTAAACGGAGGTGGGCCAGAAACTACATGGAATTGGCTGGGAGTGGGGGGAGGGGAGGGGAGGGGAGGCAGGTCTGTTTCCCTCACTGGGGCAGGGGTGTTCTTCAACGTCCTGGAATCTGGTTTACCTGATCTCTCAGAACTCTGAGAAAAGGAACCCACGCTCAGGAAACGTGGGCCAACACGCTTTGCCACACTCTCTACTTCCTACCTTCCAACCCAGAAAGATTCAGAAGGCTCATGAAACTCAGGGCAGATTTCAGGAAATTATGATCATTCTCAACAGTGAACATTCTTCAGTGATATGGATGCTTAACTGCCTTGAGTTCTAAGAAAGGGGATGGGGGTGAGGATGGGGGGATGGGGCTGGCTGCTACTGTGAAATTAAAAAAACTCGAGATTGTAAGGACTTGATGAATTAATTGTCTTGGAAGTTTAGACACAGGTAATGAAGGATAGAACCAAAAATAAAAATGGGATCAGTTTGTGAACTTGAGTTGCCTGTAATCTGGTTAGTAAGGAATTGATTTTTGTGCTGACCAGCAGACTTAAATGCCTAGACCTTTCTGTGTTTCATTTTCTCCTTTCTGACTAGTTCTCTAACGTATGTGATACTTAGTATATTAAAAACAAAAAGTTAACCCCTCCCCCCTGCGTTGTATCAATGTCCTGTTTCATTTTAGTTCACTCAAGGAATCGAGTATTTTGGTTCTGAGGTTTTTTTTGCTGACAGGCTGTATGTATGAAAATAGTTTGTCACCTGACTACCCCCAAAGCATGAGGAGATGGGAATTCCAAATTTGGGGTCCAGGCAACCCACGTGGTGGTGATGGTGATGAGGCAGTGCTTTCACGAGAGCCACTGCCCCTCTTGGCTCCTCTGTTGAGGATTTGAAATGGCATTTCTAAGTTATAAGGTCTTTGATGTTATAGGAGCTCAACGATCTTGTTTGCGTTTTTTTTTGTTGCCCTGCTTCATGCGGGGCAGTGACTGCTGGTAGTGATGGCTGGGTGCAGATCCCTTCCCAGAGAAGACAGACAGAAGGCCTCGGCCTTTAACCCATATTCCTCTTCCACAGGATCTTCTCAGACTGGCTGGCTGACTGACTGCGGGTGCTCAGGCCCCACAAGTCCATTTCCGGTGCTCTCTGCTTGCTTCTCTTTCGTGGAGACTGGAGTGGGACCAGTCTCCTTAGAGTGGTCCTCGAGCCTGTGCTGGTGATCACTGAGGATGATCCAGGGCTCTCTGAGGCAAGGTGATGCCCACCTGCTAACAGTGAAGCAAGCACCTTAATGGTCTCGAGTCAAAATTGCTTCTTTCCTCCTCCTTCAGCCCCAAGGAATGTTTGTGCACACCTGATGCTGAACAAAACCCCGATTTCTGTTCAACTTTATACACCTCAGGGAATTATATCACTTTAAAAATAGGTTTTTTTCCCTTTATATTTCCTTATAGTTTGGCTCCTCTAATATTTCCTGACTGAAATTAGTAGTCTGCCGCCCCCTGCCCCCCCCCACCATTAGATGAATGAGAAATAAACAAGATTAATTATACAGAAATGCAGATTGAATTGATGCTTTGTTGAATTGCCCAAAGCTTTCTCTTGGCAGAAAAGGGAAGAATACTCCTTTAAATGGCCAGGTTTTAGTTGATAAAACTGTTTCTGAAGTTTTATTTCTGTCTGCTCTCCCTTCTCTCCCTCCCTCCCTCTGAGCTATGAAGTAGGAAACACACTTTCATAGTGCTTCTTACAAGGTTGTTGTTGAACTTGAGCTTTGGTTGAGCCTTCTCATGGGAGGGAGAGGAGAACAGGCTCTTTTGAATGAATGCCAGAAAAGTTTGTTTTATGATAGGCTTCTCCCCACCTACTTTCTTCTGCCCTTAAAAAATGGCACACTTCGAGGCCTGTAGTTGGGTGGCCTGGGTGTTCGAGCCTGGCTGCTTCCTAGCAGCGTTGAGTCAGAGATGGGAAGTCTTTTTCGCCAGCTGCTTTCTGCTGTCTGTAAGATCGCTACTTTTATTGTTAGATCCTGGCTTTTGGACAGTTTAGCAGCAGCATCCAGAGAAGCACCTGCTTTGTAGCAAGGCATCAACCACTTAGTGCTTCAGCCCACTCCTTATCACCTGAAATGTCCCCATCTTGTGGATCTTTCCGGAACTGCTTCACATCACAGTCTAAAGTACAGGTTGTGTTTTGCAACCTGCAGCACACCTGGATCCCTACACCTGGACCCGCTGGTGGTCAGTGGCCAGCCTTTTGAGGGCTCAGTGATGAGTGATGATTTTTGTGGGACACCCAGGATTTTCCTGTGATGCTGGTTGCCTCCCTAAAGCTGTCACACATGTTACTTATTGGCAGCTACTTCAGAATTTCCTGACCAAACCAACCAACCACTGCCGTCGAATCAGTCTCAATTTTTAGTGACCCTGTATAGACTGTAGAGGCTGTAAATCTTCACAGGAGCAGAAAACCTAATCTTTCTCCCTTGAAGTAGCTGTTGGGTTTGAATTGCTGATCTTTTGATAGGCAGCCTGTCGTGTAACCCACTGTGCACCAGGGCTCTGTCCCACCCACAGCCACTGCGAGAGGCCTACTGGGCTGCCAGTGTGTAAACGCATCAAGTGACCGACTGCTTTAACCCGAGGCGGGAGCCATTTCCTGTGCAAAGTATTCATGATAAGAGCTTGTGTTTTCATGGCTTGGGAATTGCTTGGTGATTTACCTTTATAATTTTATTATTTACAGTGCTAAAAGGATCGGAACACCGTTGGCTCAGGCTTCCTGCTGTGACCCAGCAGAACTTTTGAGCAGGTGAGTGTGGGTGGGAAGCATAAAGCAGAGGGCAGTTGCCAACAGGTAGTTTTTGCTTTCAGGTTTCAGTCACTGATTGGAAGGTAACTGTGGGGTAACAGGCAGCACATGACAGTTTTCACTTTAGCTACTGAGAATACAATTCAGTGACCCAGGAGTTGCATACCCAGCGTCGTTTAGCCCTCATGTACCTTTGTCCTCTGTGTCACCCCTCTGGTGCCCCTCAGAACCTTTAGGAACTTTCAGTATCGTGGCTCCTTCTCTGCATTGATCAGCTGGGTATTGGTATCTTAGATTGCCTTTCAGGTTTTTTGGCGGGAAAGACTAGGAGCCTGTTTCGATGAAAGAGGAGGTTTAGTGGGAGAGAGTGGGATGGGGGGCGGTCTAAGCAGTTTACTTCCTGAGGGACTGTGAGGGCAGCATTCAGGTGCCATGATGGTCATGGTATTCTTGCCCAGCTGGCCAGGTAGCATCTGTTGGGTCTTTTCCCCTTTCTGCTTTATCCTGTCTTCAGTTTGGTTGTGTCTGCTTGAATAAGCAATGGAAGAAATTGGCCATCCCTGGGGCCACATACGAACTTGAGCTCTAACACAGTCAGCCAACTGCCAACTATTTTAGTGCTCACATGACATATTTCTGGGAGGGAAGCTTTGGTGCACCTTGTTCCCTTTCTCCGTCTCTGGTGTCATTATATGGCCTGGGGGCTGGGGTCGAGAAGAGCAAATGTACTTCGTGACAGATCCCACTCGTGGTGGGGCAGGCCTCAAAGGAGGCATAGTTTGGGCAGTTCTAGGCGGATTCTCACAGGAGTTTCTAGTGGTTTGCCTTTGGCGAGTTCTCTAGAGAAAAGCCTCTGGCTTATTGCTCTGCAGTTTCAATGGATGTGTCTTGGAGAGTTGGCCTATTTGCTATCTATGCCTATTTGCTATCTTATCTTTTCTCGGACAAGGCCCAGAAAGTCTCACCAGCTACTTGGTGGAATTTTCTCATGTACTTTTCAGTTAAGCATCTGGGATCAGTAGGGTTAGCAAATGAATATAATAAATGAGAGGCTGAGTGTGGAAAAACTGAAGTGTAGTTATTTACTTCCCGTGGATTTTTTTTTTTTTTTTTTTACTATTAGTTTGCTTTCTGAGCACATCTGCAGAATTAAGCACCACTTGAGGATTAGGAGGCCATGTAGAATTTAAAGGACAAGATTTCATTGACTTTCTACTCAGTTATTGGAGGAAGAAGGATCAGGGGCCTTCAGGGTGGGGGAAGCATTCATGAGATGACGTGAACTTTTTAATAACATGTTTTTTGTATGAATCTAGGATTAGTAGATAATACTAGAGCAAGCATCTTTTAAATGGAGTGTTTAAAAGTCAGGGGTGTCAACATTTTTATGGAAAAAATGAAATAAAAAGATAAGAGGTTTTTTTTTATTTTTTATAAATGGGATTTCTCCACAACTTCTCTGAAGCCCTTGTATGTCTTGGTTTTTGTTTGTGGCACGTATGCATTTAGTGACAATTGGGTTCTTCCATTTTGTTGTGTTAGTGTAGGTCTCGATTTTTGGGTTCTAAGCCTAGGAATCACACATGAATAAAAGTGACAGGTCATGGACACTGATGCTCTGGGAGACTTGTTCGCTCATGGTTTCTTCAGCCAGTTGCCACTGAATTCCTTTCTCAGATAGAAGGACCCTTTTTCCTGCTGTGTGTTTTCTTCAGTCTGTGCCGAGGAGGGGCATATTCAGCATTCAGGACTTCATGAATTACATCGGTGTAATACTCCCCAGGCTCTGTGGAGCCCTCTCTGGAAGGCCTGGGTTGGCTATTAGTCACCACGGCAATGCTGATGGCGCTGTTTCTCCGAGAATAGTTGACTGATTTTACTGATTTTATTCTTAACCTTTTACCAAAAGGAGGTGGTGGTGGTGCAGGGGACATTTACATGTTGATCACCAGTAGCATTAGCCTTTCTTCTTATTAGGAGCCTTTGTGGCCCTGTAGGATAAGCATTGGGCTAATCACAAGGTTGGCAGTTCAAAACCCACCAGCGCTCCTGAGGGAGCTGAGGCTCCCGTAAAGATGTACAGGCTCCAAAATCCTACGTAGGGTCGCTGTGACTTGGAATTAGCTTATGGAATTAGCTTGGTTTGTTTTTCTTTTCGTGACACCGTGGCCACTGCGTTCTTTGGGAACAGACACGGCTCCCTTAATCCAGGTTGTGCAGGACCCTCCGAGTTCAGGTTGCCGATCCTGAGGGGGAGTGGGCAGACGGGCTGCTGGTTCAGTCAGGTGGGATGGAGGTGGAGCTGTGTCAACCATGTGTGACTGGGGGGCCTGCCAGGTTGATGGGCCAGGGAGCTTGAATCAAGGTTCAGAGACCCCCGGTCTTTACCCCATTGTTGATGGAGTTGCTGAGTGAGGGGAGGTCACAAGCTCATCCCTTCGGTCTGCCCCACCACCCTGGTGTGTAGACAAGGTACTTTGATTCTTAGAAGCACAGTTTCCTTACCCAAAACATTTGTCCCCTGGCCATGTGGAAATTAAGAGAAAATGCCCACTACAAAGCATATAGGAAGGAGGCCTCTAATGAGTGATTGTGATTGTGGTACCAAGTAAATAAGTACCTTTTTTGATTATAAAACTTTATCTTTGTGCCTTTTGTACAGAGAAGGTCAGTATGTTCAGTTTACATTGTATCACTCCCTGCCCCTCCACTCCCCCTCTCCCCCTTTAATCCAGCAGCAATCACATGCCCACACTGTGCCAGTCGCTGATGAAATAAACCAAACCCATGGTCATTGAGTTGATTCCAACTCTCATAGTGACCCTATAGAACAGGCTAGAACTGTCCATTTTGGGTTTCTGAAGCAGTTCCCTTTCTCCAGCAGCCTGGCTAGTAGGTTTGGACTGATGACCTTCATTCCGGTCAGCAGCTGAACTCCTGACCCATTCCATCAGCAGTGCCGAGCAAGGTGCACAGTCCTGTCCTGTCATGGTGCTTGCAGCCTGGCGTGGGACGCTGTCAGGAACCGTGATGGAAATTTTAAAATGTGATAGGTCTTGCTGCCCTTGGAAAAGGGACATTTAAAAAAGATGATGTATGTTCCCACTAAGTGTCACATTTTCAATCTTGGTGTCCTCGATGTCGGTGGAATTTTGTGTCTTTTCATCTCGGCTCCCTTAGTGTGCATGCTTGTAGTTTCCAGTTGAGTGAGGTACTTCTTTTGCCACATTCTTCTGAGCTAGACCGTCTCCGCACGTGTCCCTAGTGCCCCTTTACAGAATACCGTGTAAAACCATTGGGACGCCAGAGAGCTTTTTGTAATATTTGTGTATATTTGCTAACTAGATATTAAAATGGGGAAGTTAGATGCTTATTCCCTAAAATTAACCATAAACTCATTACATGTTAACCTAAGTATGTATATATATGTATATATGTGTGTATATATATATAAATATATTTTTTAAGTGAAACAGAAACAATTTTTATTTGGCAAAATTTGAATTGAAGGGGCAAAGCAAAAGTATCGTGCCCATTTGGATAAGACTGTTTACTAAAAGTTGCCCCACTGAGACTTTAAAATCCATTCTTCCTTTTCCCGGTCTTCTGTGTCATGAGTTTCCAGTGCTACTCCACTAGATACAAGAGAGGTGGGGGCTCTCTTGTCTGCTCTCTTGCTGTCTCAAAATCACTGACACTGAGTCAATCCTCATTCATAGCTATCCAAGTATATATATATATTTTTCAAGTATATATTTTTTAATGGAAACCTTGTTCAAAACGACTTCTGAAAGTGTTGGGTGAGAAGGATGACCTTGCTCTTTACCTTCTTGCAAAACTCACTTCTCTGGCTGGTTGGAGTCCCATACTTGCTTCCGCTTTCAGCCACGTGCGGTTTATTGCCTTGGGTAAAGTATATGAAGACAGTTCATCCCCATAAAGATAGTTGGAAAAGGGAGAGGCCTTTTAATGCCTTCCCAAATACTGGCAGGTATTGGTCTTTGCTCATATACCAGCATTTGACAGGTAGGTTTAAAGTTTATGGAGCACTCGGGGCGTAGTGGTGATGCGCGTTGGGCTGCTAACCTCAAGGACGGCAGTTCAAATCCACCAGCTGTTCTGCAGGAGAAAGACTAGACTTTCTACTCGACTAAAGAGTGACAGTCTCAGAAACTCACAGGGCAGTTCTTCCCTGTCCTCTGGGGTTGATGGCACTAAGTTTGGATTTTGGATTCTAGAGAGCAGCTAGTTCAGCTGGCAACTTGTTGTGTTCACATCAGTGCCTTTCCTGGGACAGTCGGCAAGCAGCA